CCCTCAATTAACAGTCATCCAATTACACAGCAAGGTTTCTTCTCCTTCCTCACAGCACATAGTTCCTATAATCTATTTCCATTTTTATTGTACTAATCCTCCCTGCAGATCTGGGGGAGGGGAGACTTACAGGAGGCTTGGTGGGGGTAGTTGTTCGGGAAATTTTTAGAGCTGAATGTAGTATTTGGTTCCCAGAGTTCAAATGGTCCCCCGCAGTCAGCTGAAAGAGAAAGTGTTTCAGAAATATGTCACCTACTGCCTGTTTGTGCAACCAATTGCCCAGAAAGACCATGTTCCAGTCAGTAAAATTACAGGTCATACATTTAATGGTCACTTAATGGTATTTCCTTTTGCTTTATAGACCTGGAAAGAACAGCAACATTTTTATAAAGAGAATGAACTGGATTCAACTTTACAGTAACAGTATAAAGGTTCAGAGCCAGATGGTGCTATTAATACACAATCCTGAACCTCAGGCAATACACGATCCTGAACCACTTGCAGCTAGGAGTCAATCTACCCCAATGGGAACACTAAGTCTCAGGGAAGCAGAGTATCTAACAGAACTCCTAGGGAATTCAGCAGCCGCTCCTCTCCTTAGGAAGATATAACATGCACTACTGTCCAGGGCCAGTCAGCTCTACTGGCTGATGCAGAGGTGGACAGTACCATGGTTCCATCAAAAGCCTTTTTGTAGATTCTATTGCTTATGTAGTTCTTGTGTTCTGGGCAACACAAGTGCTGCAAGTGTGACCACTCTTGGTGAAGTCCGCCCCTTGAACTTTGGCAGAGGAAATGGTCATGATCTGTCCCTTATTTGTTGATCAAGGATTCCTAAGGGCATTACATGAGAGCAAAGCTTGAAGGCTTTATAGATGAACAGACAGTTTTAAATGTACACTGTATTGTTTGGCTGTACAATATTTTAAATGCTTGTTATTCAAGAATTACAACAACAAAAACCCACACAAAATTAATGTAAACCTTGGAATTTTAGTTAGCAACATCTCCGTCATTTACTCTCTTTCTAAATGTCTTTGTATTTGATTTGCTAGCCTGGGAAAATACTTGATGCTCTTAGACACACCAAAGGTACTTTCCTTTCTTCATCCACTGAATAAATTATTAATGGAGACCATGTGGAACTAAAATGGCAAAGTGGGCCAGATAATTTGCCATTTAAAAATTTGTCATATTCATACATACATATATATGAAAAATAATGCCAAGAAAATTTTTTGGGAAAAGTTGTAATGATTTTTCATTCAGCTTTGGCCATAATTAAAACATTAACTTGCCACAATATCTTGCATGATTCCCTATACTTCTGTATTGCACTCTTGTTTAAGTACCCTAGTAAAATTCTAGGGCTGAGATTTTCAAAGTTGCCTAAGGAATTTGGATACCCAATTCCCAAAGGGAATTGAGTTTCTGAATCTTGTAGGCAGCTTTGAATATCTCAGCCCAAATGTTTGCATCTGAAAATACGGAACCAATTTAAGTCTTGATGAAAATGGACACAACTCCCATTGTCTTCCCAGGAGCTACCCAGGCATACACTAGGTCTGGACATGGCCAATAGTGCTTTATTACATTCAGTTCTTGAAGGGTACAAGCTGATTTATGAGAAATATAAAATTACAGTGAGCTATTCCAGAGCATCCCTCACCATACTGTACTGCCAATCCCTGGTATTACTAGTAAAAAGGAAAAGCCTGCTAATCCTTGGTTAAGGCCATGCAAGGGATGGGAACAAGGGATGTAGGCTGTGCAGTGAGCTCCTGAGCTCTACTGCCAGCAGAGGATAGGATAGTTCCAGATGATGATGAGAGCGAGAAGAGAAATGTGCTTTGAATCTCACTTTAGTGCTCATCCAAAAGGATCACCTGCAATCCCTTCTATTGCAAACTACTAACTGGAGCATGCACCTACAAAATCAGGGACCTGACTCTACTTCCAAACGGGTGGATCCTGCCCGAAGAGACTAGTGTGGCAGCATATGCACTAACCAAGCTCTGTGAAAAGCTTAGTATTATTATTAGGAATTATTATAATTGTGTTCAATAGAGCACTAGGAAGGTATCCATCCCTACTCATGTGCAGATGCATTGGTGGGTGAAAGGAAGAGTTCCTCTCCAATGAGCCCATGAAACACAGGGAAGAATTTAGCCCAGTGCACTTAATAGTACAAATATCTAATCTAACCCTATAGAAAAGGCTTTAGCAATGCTTTCAATAGACTTTCTGAACCTATTTCTGTGTGTGCCTCCCCGCCACAAAGAACATTTCCTCAAGCCATGAGATTTTCTCTCTCCTCTGTTTTCTATGCAGCTCCTTTCCTCAGGGCATGAGAGGGAACCTAGCTGTCTTGCATGGCAGTGCATAAAACTAGCCATGTCCTTCTACTTTTAAGATGAATAATTTAACAGGCCCCAATTGGATTATGCTTTAAAAAAGAGAGCACTGAAGATATGCCAAAAGTGTGCCTGCCACCATGAACAGTAGCACCATTTGCTGATGTGAGCTTTTATTTGTTTTATGACACTGCACTCTCCCTTCATTCCTGGACACACAGCTAGAACAGAGGACTCAGGTCAGGAGACTTAGGCTGTAGTCCCAGCTCAACTACTGCTTCACTGTGTGACCTGGACCAAATCATTTCACCTCTCTATACCTCAGTTTCCCCATATGTAACATGGAGATGATAATACTTATCCACATTTTTAAAACAGTTGCAACTTTTTGGATGAAAAGGGCTATGTTCGTGCAGGGTATTATTATAGTGTGACTATACTGAACAAGTGTAGGGGTTACGTATAAAGGTTTTTTTTAACATAGAGTTTTGAGAGCTCTGCACGTGTATCTTAGCCTTTCAAAATATATTTTAATAAAATATGTTAAGGTGAATAGTCAGGACCCCGTGTAAATACATCCAGACTTCAGTGGCATTAGTGAGCCTGCCAAAATGGATAGCACTCGTAGTATTTATACACTAAATGGAAGTTTCAAAAGGGTCATTGCTTTTAAATATTTAAGAGCTACTATTTTAGATACATTTCAAGTATAATTTCACATTAAACAGCTGGCTAGTAAGATATCCTTTATACTTGCTCTAGCAAGATGTATTACGAGTTGTCTAGAGATAAATGATGGTAAGGAATTGGCAGAAGCACTTATAGTATCTGCCATTCTAATTATGATGATACCATTTACACTAATGGTGGTCCAGCTATTTAGAAAAGATGGTACATATTCTGTAATAAAGCAACAAAAGACTTGTATTATAATGGATCTTTAGTATCCCTGATATGCAGTGTTCTTAGATAAAAGGGCCACAACTACTGAACAAGCGTACAATGGGTGATAGTTGAATTTCTCAAACACTTATGTCAGTTACTTTCACTTCATTGGATACCTATTAGCTCATTCACATAATCTTTCTAAATGCTAAAACTAGCCATTTGTCTTTCCATGGAACAATTTTTCTCATGAGTTATGATCTGACAAAAAACCTTCTGTACGTACAAGACGTATATTAATTGTGTGTGCGTGTACATGTGTGTAAAGAATTAGAATATTTGAAGTGATTATATATATAACCCTCTTGGTTTAAACTGGCTGTTTCTCTAATAATGCTATTTTATCTGCACAGGATACATTTTTTAGATCCAGCAGCTTGAACAGAATGCACCATCCTGCACGCCAAGAAAAAAACATCTAATTAAAGATTTTGGCTAAAATAAAAAGCTACATTTGTAAATCAGTCGCCAATTCTAGGGTTTATGATTAATGCCAATAGACTAAGAAACTTTCATGCCTTAATTTCTTATGGAGTTGAAGGATTTGGAAAAAACAATACATATTGCAAAATTCTGCTTGCTTGGCAATATCTGATCTTTGTTTGTTTTACAAGATTTTATCTCTACTAAGATTCATTGGGCCAAACTTTGCCCTTAGTCGCATCCCATGCAAACCCACTTAAGTCAGTGGGGTTTCTTTTAACTATGGGCAGAAACTGAGCTGCTGTCTCTGAGGATGTGAAACTTACATTGTCAAAACTATAAGGGATCATCAAAAATACTTGAAGGTCATTTTCCATTAGTGACTGGTGACCCTCCAAAAGTTATTACGTTCATTTCACAGAAGCATCCAAACTTTTAGCATCAAAATAAATTTACCTCTTCAGTCTGCAAAATTGAACTAAAAATCTCCTGACAAGAAGCTCTGTTAAGTGTAGAAAAAGCCCAGAAGAAAATGGCCTTTATTGGGATATTTCATCATTTCCATTTGGCAAACTTCATCTGAAGAACTAAATATGAGAATGATAATGAAGGAGAGGTAGTAAAACATTTCTAGATTTGGGAGCTGGGGGAAGGCAGTTTTATTTGGACTTTTGGTAGAGTTCCCACTGGGTTATTCATTTATCATTTCTATTTTAAATCTGAACCAGTGTGATTCTGGTGTGTGAATCTTTCTGAGTCATCATGCACTATCTGGGACTATGATGTAAACATGTTTTTATGAAAACACCTGTGTGGATTTTTCCCAGTGACTTTTGGAGATCTTATTCTAAGATTTGATTCTGTGGATTTTTCTTTGGGGGAATGTCCTTTCGTTTTGTTGTTCAGAAGCAAACCAAAACCCCAGATTTTGTAAATGCACAGTGAGACAATTTCAACAGACATTAGTATGACTCAGCTAGCGGACAGGAGTCACATGAAGACAAGAGGTGACATTATATTGATAGAAAAAAATCCTTAAACATTTGATACTCTTTTTTTTAGGCACAGTTATAAAAGATGATTTATGTCTGAAATGCATCGTTGCCATATCTTTTAAGTATACCTCATTTTGAGGGATTTTACTTATTTTTGTCCCAGAGTTACCTATGATTAACACAAATTTGGTGTCTCCTCACTTCTATTGTTGACAATTATTTACAACAAAAATAAAGAACATTGAAATTGAGATCACAGGAAGAGTCATTTACCCTAAAGGAAGGACTTCCACTATACTGTAATTTTCTTGCATGGAGAATAGTTTTGTGTACCTAATTTTGGTCTTTGCCACTCATTGCATTCCACATTTAGGCCTTAGTGGTTAGAGAGGGATGACCATTGTAGAAGGGCAAACAGTGAAAGAATGTAATCTTGATTACCTAATGTGCAGAGTAATATATTTTTAATTGCAAGTTTAGCAGAATTAAGCAGTGAATTCCTCCACAGCCATTTAGAGACCGCCTGCACAATGGGAAAGTTCCTGTTGAGATTGTCCACAAAATTCTCGCAGGAGGAAGCTCTGGGACATAAGGAATGGATTAATATTTTCTTTGATAGCCCCACTAAATGGGTTCCTATTTGACTATTATTCTTGGAAAGAAATGGCAAAAGCTCTAAAAAAAGAAAAAATAGTGCCAGTAGTCTCAAGACGCATACATTTTATGTAAAAATTACGTAGAGTTAGAAAATATGTCAAGTTAGAGTTATGGTTCAAAGGGTTCATAGGGAAGTCCGCTTTCTATAGATAGGATCAGCAACAAATGACGACACTAGCTTTCTGTTAAGAAACACACACACACACACACACTCACACAGATATTTCAATTGATAATTGGCTTTCTGAATCAATATCATCTGATGGTTTTAGCAGAGCAACAACAGCTACCTTAAAATGGTATGGCTTGTTGTTGCTTGGGGCAAAATTTGATCTTGTGAAGTCTAAGCATAAGACACATTACTCACAATCCTCTAAGCACTACCCTGGCAAGGAAATACAGTAGAAAAGTAATTGATTTTACTCATGTCTGGAAAAATTATTGGCAAAATCATTAGTGGTCTTTATAAAAAACAAAGTATTATGCAGTTATTTTGGACTTTATGCTTGACGCTAGTTACCAGTAACAAACTGCAATCAACACACATTTTTTCCCCACTGATGACGACACTACAGCAGACATGCCAAACATACAAAAAAACCCACAGAAATTGGGCTTGTTTTTGGCTTAATTGGCTTGTGAGTTGCTTGTTGACTAGTTTTTGGCTTGTAGCTTGTTGCTTCTTTTTTTTTTTTTGATCGTCTCCGTGCAAAGGGGTGCAAGGAGGGACAAGGTGGGGGGAGAGAGCCAGGGGTGCACAGCAGGCCCATCATAGTCCCAGATTGCACGCCAGGGGGATCTAGTCACATAGAGGGTTGGGGCTCTTAGGGATTGGCTTGTTTGGGCCTTGTTTTGAAATGGGATTAGCTTGATTTTTGGTTTATTGTGAAAGTCGGGGTTCTTATTTACCGCGTGAAAGTTGGCAACTGTGCACTACAGGGCAAGGTTTTCTGGGCACTTTTGAAGACAGCTCTATTAATTAATCCAAATAGGCCCAGCCATGAATCCCTTACTCACATAAAGATCCCTTGTGCATTGGCCATGATCACAATCTAGACGGGTACAACCAACTCCGTTGCAAAAAAACACTCTAAGTCATTTCCACTCTATTTGTGTGCTATGCTCAGTGTCAGAAGATGATTTGAAAATGAGCATTCACAGATTACAGCAATAAATATTGCAAATAAAAATGTAGAACTGACAGTCTTATGCAAAAAAGCTACAGAAATGCTTGGCATTTCAATAACATTTTGTGATACTGCAAAAGACAATGCCACATTTTACTGAAACATAATGTCTAACAGAAGAAATTGACTCAACTCAGATTCCTCATCTCTTGTTTTCTGACATGACATTTTTAATGAAATCAGTATCAGTAGTAAACTTGCACAAAGTCCATCTTTGTAGTGCAATATTATTTTGAAGCACTCAGGACTTTTGACAGCTTAAAAAGAAGATAATTTTTAGTATGCCTTAGATACAGGAAAGCAAACAAGGTATGCTCATAGTTTTCTACCATCCTGTGTCCGCAGAAAGCATGCTTTATTTTCACTATGAAGGACAATCGGGTGCTTACCATCAATTCCATGCTGAACATATGCATTATATGTTACATGTTGGTCTTGATACTTTAGATAAATGATTTAATTTAATATTTCAACTGTGCAGAAATTTTCAGTTCTTGTGTGATGGCATAGAAAAATAGATACAACTCAGCTTCAGAAATGTAAAAACAATGAGGAGTCCTTGTGGTACCTTAGAGACTGTGCCACAAGGACTCCTCGTTATTTTTACTGATACAAACTAACACGGCTACCCCTCTGAAACCTTCAGAAATGTGTTATAGATTTAAAATCAGAGGAGCACATGGCTGTCAGTGGTAAAACAGAAATCTTATACTGATTCTATTATCCCACAGATGGAACTGCTCAGTGTGTTGGTCATTTATCTACCATTAGAACATCCTTCAACGTTCTTTTGCATTATTTTAAAAACTGGTGGAAGTTTACTCATGTGCTTCAATCTCAAAAACTTTCAACTTCTAATGCTGCTCAAATGGAATAGTATGTATCCAGATTGAAATGAATTAAGATAGCTTCATCACACTGCTTCATGAACCAAGAACGATCCGTGTTCTCACTCAGTGAATGCCATATTGCTAGATAATATTATTGAAAACTCACTGAGAATTTTACATAAATGAAGGCCTACAAAGGAAAGAACTAAACTAATTTATTATGGTGATTAATATTAATTTGTTGTCCAAATTTAACTTTGGACACGGAAACTTTTTATTGAGCTTTCCTTTCCTCTTATATTTATTGCAAGGAAGGTTTAAAATTAATCTTTTATTATATAATCAGAAAGTCTTAGTTTGCTTTCCTTTACTGATGCTTTACATTTAGAGGTGATGGGATTTTTAGTGGAAGGTCAATATTAGTAAACAGTACTTTGAGTGATGGGAAACCCAGCCAATAAATTACCCCCGTTATTTTAATTTCAGACCATCATTATATACTATATGTTGTCAAGTTAGCAACTAGAAGGATTTATAAATGACAGTAAACCCAGTATGAAACAGGACTCTTGTGCACTTATTGTTAATTTCAATTATTTCAGACCTTCTGGGCACACATCAAGTTTTTTTTTCTTTTAATTATCAAAATTCTCATGATTTTTTCCACCAAAAAAAAAAAATGCAAAAAGCCCTCCAAAATAAAACAAAATAAATTTTCACAATTTTTTGACTAGTTTTACTCATATGTTTACTAAGGCACCTAGAAGGATCGGTGGATCTAGCTTACTGAGTTAATATCAGATATATTGATTCTATGCTGAGTTATATGCATGTTTCAAAAACAAAATTATGGTTGCATTAAAGAATTTTTTTAAAAAAACCCTCAAACAATATAAATTCTGGCATTTAAAATCTCTGTGGTCTCCATACAATGGCTCCTGTGAACTTTCCAGGATTGGTGTAGACAGAGGAGTAGGGTGCACCAGAAAGGAGATTTACAGCCAATGTTTTTAATGGCTCATGAACTTTAAATTGAACTGTTGTTCGGGAGGAATGTTTGGATGGTGCCCCCAAACCTAAAGTCTAATATAAACATTAAAATAAAATTCCAGGAAACCTCCCTTTCTACATATTATTGAGACAGGATTTGAGTTCTTCAGTGGGCCTTAAAAATTTAGATGATTTATTCTTTGATACTTTCAAAATCTAGGCCCTGATCCTCAACAGATGTAAATCAGTGTAGCCCTATGCATGTCAACAGAACTTTGATGATATATGCCAGCTAAGATTTTGACCCCTGATTTGTAACTACGAACAAAGGTCTAAGTAATTAAAGAGTTGAAAATGTTTAAAAACAAATATATTCTTAGAAAATAAACATATACTTTACTTTAAAACAGACTTACTGGGAAGTGAAGGTGGAGTAGTGCTTGTTGGAACCAAAGTTGGTTCTGGATAAATACTTTCCTTACACTGTCCACTTATCAGTCCAAAGTCATCCAGGGCAATATCACTTAGACCTGGTTTTTTAAAGGCATCAAAAATAACCTGAAATTCATGGAAAACACAAATTTAGAATGTAATGCTAAATTATCTAACCATCTGTGCCTTCAGAACAGATTTCCCCTTCTTTCATGCATTTTTTTTTATTTCTACCATAATCTCTGGTCTGGAATTCCACTGGTGGGTCACTAATGAGAAGAGATAATTCCCTGCTAGAAAACTTTGTGAAACAGCACTACACAAGACTAGATTATGGCTTATGCTTACAAACAGAGAGATCCTCTCATCTATCCCCTATATATCAAATGAGTCAGGAGATTTAATACACAATTCTATAATTTCATTATCTATTATAATGAAGTTTCCACACACAGAATCTGAAATCATTATTGTTCAAATTCTCTACTGGCCTTAATTGGCTTAGCTCCTTTGATTTCCAAGGAGCTGCACTAATTTAATCAGAAGAGAATTTACTGTTGTTATTGTGCCCCAAACCTACTATTACCTACAGCAGGCCTATTACCAAACATTAAGCACTGGTGATCTGAACAGCCAAATGCAATATTTTTCATGGTGTTATAAGGAAACCCAGGTTTCCTAGAAAACTGACTATACCCTTATTACAAAAGCATTTTTTGGTCAGATGGTAACTGCAATCTTTAGCATTCTTTTCTGGCAGTGGTTTTGCTCAAATGGCTGCTCATCTTCACCACCATAACAAGACTAGTCATCCCTGATACTTATGGAATTAATTTGTTGTCTAATCCAGAATAGCTGAAAGAATTACCTAGTGTAGTTCTACTATAGACTAATTCTTTTTGATACAAGTAGAATACCCAGCTGGATATAAAAAACATTTCCTTTTGAAGCTAAATTCAAATATATAATTATGTAATTAATTGGCTGAACTATTTGGGAATCTAAAGTTTCTGGTCGAATCTCATTAGGGACAAATGCTTCATATTTCATTCATTGTCAAGGTATTTCAACTTTCAATCAGATTTGGATACGTTCTCAGATTTCCCTTGCTGTGACAAAGAGCTCTCTTTGGATACAAAGCTGGCAGTCCTCAGACAGTAGTAAGTCTCCCTGTCCTACCATATCAACAACAACAATAATTTAAACCCTAGAAAATACAAGGTCCAGTTCTGAAGTCCCAGTCTTCTGCATACTAATAATTATTTGACAGTAAGGCCTGGTCCCCACTAACCCCCCACTTCGGACTAAGGTACGCAAATTCAGCTCCGTTAATAACGTAGCTGAATTCGAAGTACCTTAGTCCGAACTTACCGCGGGTCCAGACGCGGCAGGAAGGCTCCCCCGTCGATGCCGCGTACTCCTCTCGGAGAGCTGGAGTACCAGCGTCGACGGCGAGCACTTCCGGAATCGATCCCAGAACATCGATTGCCTGCCGCCGGACCCTCCGGTAAGTGAAGACGTACCCTAAGTGTTAGCAGACAACAAAGGATATTGCTTTTGCAGATGTGGAATACTGCAAACAGTTCCAAAAGTTGTTGGAAAATAAAGTGAAAGAGAGTTAGCTTAAAGTAATAAAAAAGATTAATAGCTTAACAAACCTTAAAGTCAGATGTTTCATTTAATGTTACTTGTCCATAATTCCAGTTGTTTCCATAATTTCCTTCTTTCTGGAAAACTGTCTTTTCCATGTTATTGCTATTCACAATGTTAATACTTAAACGATAAACGTTAGTACCATACATATGATACCTGGAGGGGAAATACCAAGATTTTATATTATCCTATCAGACTGGAATTCATCCAGATGAGTGAATAAAAAGAAATATCATACTGAAAATACTAATTCAAGCTTTTCATTGCATAAGTAGCTTTTTGAAGTCAAGATGGGTCAAAAACTAAAAGGTTTTAATGTATTTTCACCCAATAAATTCTGTGAATTTGTTTCTAATACCTCACCAATATTTATAAATTCCTACAATACAGGGTATCAAAAGAATATCATATTCAGATTCTGATAACTGATATTCTAAACGCATTTTGATTATGGCAGCATCCCTCCAATATGTGTCACCAGACTTCCAGCATGTGTCATTCTGAAGGACTGGCATCTGAAAGCTCAACAAGCTAGAATGGTTTTATAATATGAGGTTTTAAGCCTCATGACTTCATTATGGATCTTTGGCTGCGTGCCAAAGGTTGTTAATCCCTGCTAGGCCTGATTCAAAGCTCACTGGAGTCAATGAAAGACTCTTATTGACTTCTGTTGATTTGGATCAAGGCCCATATTGTAATTTCTTATGGAACTGGATAGTTAGAGACCTGGAGTGAAATCCTAGCTGCAAAATTCCCATTGACTACAATAGGGCCAGGATTTCAGCAGAGGAATCTCTAGTTTGTCATGGAAATCCAAACTCTTTGCAGAACTGTGCTGCACTCCTGCTGCATGGTTAAGCCAGGTTGTAGACTTTGAACCAATTGACCAAATAATTTATGACAAAAATACATTTACATATGATTTCATTCTTAATTAAAGGTTATACTTAGTAATTATGTAACTTGCAAATGCTTTCTAACGTACCAAAAACTTAGACAGAATTGATCTGAAGCCGGAACTAAAGGCAAGCTAAAAAGCCGAACTCTCTGCTGTCTCGCTGCAAGTCCTATGGGTGTTGAAATATAAAATCCTGTAAAACAGTAAATATCTTTCATTGGCTATCAAGTTGATGAAGTTTGATGATGACACTAAATTATTATGGTCAATAAAAAGAATTGGGTTAGTAAAAAATACTAGAAACATCAGTGTTAAGTGCAGATAGAGCGAAATACACGGAAAGACTAGGGAGTGTCACAATAGCAGGTGAAAATGTAAGTGTAAAGTTATCCATGTTGGTAAGCAATTGATTTAAAACTTCTTATATATTTTAATGGGCCCTTAACCTGCACAATGACTGAGCAACTACCCAAGGGGTGAAAATCTGGCCCCATTGAAGTTAGTGGGAATTTCACCAAGTGGGGCAGGATTTAACACAAGGAGTTTATAATGAATTAATCAGAGACTGCCCTTATGACAGTTGTACAGGCTTTTGGAGGGAGATTATTTCCCACTCCATACCCTCCATACCACATAATGGGATGTGCGGGGGAGGAAAAAAGATTGGGACAATAATTTGTCATAGCTGGAAGCAATATCAACATGAAACATACATTGTTTGGTAATGTGTTTGCTAGAGTTTCCTACACTAATTCTTTGAGGCTAGGAGCCCAAACTTTCTTTTGCAATGTGAAAATGATAAATGGGGTAAAATTAAGTGGAGAAACACTCTCATTTCAGATCAGAAAGACAATGTTAGCCACAGAATTAAGAGTCCTAAAGGTGAAATTCTGGTTCCAGTGATGTCAGGAAGAAAACTTACAGATGCTAGGATTGTATTGTATAGACTCTATTGTATAGATGTTTCATGTCTGCAAGATTCATTCAAATACATAAAAGATTGGTTTGTAGAATGAAATCCAAATCAGGTCCTTCATTTCTGTATTGATTTAGAGATGCTCATAATCATAGATTCGTAGAATCTAAGTCCACTGTGATCGTGTAATCTGACCTCCTGTATAACACAGGGCATAGAACGTTCCGCCCCACAAAAAAAGTCCCTAGAGAATATCTTTTAGAACAAAATCTAATCTTGATTTTAAAATTGCCAGCAATGGAGATTCCGCCACAACCCTTGATAAATTGTTCGAATGGTTAATTACTCTCACTGATAAAAACGTATACCTTATTTCAGGGGCGGGCAAACTTTTTGGCCCGAGGGCCACATTGGGGTTCCGAAACTGTATGGAGGGCGGGCATAGTGTATTAAATTGCTCCCCTTAGGAATGTGCTACTTATGCTGTACTATTTACAGCTACCAGTCCTGGTGCTCTGAGCAGCATGGTAAGGGGGTGGAGACGGGAGGGGTTGGATAAGGGGCATGGGGTACTGGGGAACAGTCAGGGGACAGACATCAGTTGGATGGGTCAGAGGTTGGGGGGGCGG